CTGCGCCAAAAAGAGCCTACCTCGATTTTTTCCCAGTGCAGCACATTGGCAATGTTCTTCAAGTCCAACAGTTCACAATAACCGCACTCACATCCGCACCCCTTATCAATAACACCGCAAACTATCACATTTTTGTCTGCAACATGCGGCAATAACACGTTGACACTGAACGTAACGTTCCCCATATCAGAAGATCGGTTTAACTTCAGGTCATATTTGCCAGGAATGTGTGCCAAGAATCCTCTCTGGCTCAGACTCCGGACCAGAGTCAGGTCGTGGTTTAGTTGGTACAGCATCTCCTCAGTAGCGATGTAAACCGTGCCATTGGCCACGGCGAAGTGACGGAGGTCTCCCTTGAAGTGAAATCTTCCATCCTCCTCCAGGCACTGAGCCGCTTCTCCCCAAAGAATTAACAGAGCAGGCAGGAGGATCATCGTCGTGCAGAGATGGCAGCTTGTCGCTCATACACTGACGGTCCTCATGACACTCTGCACTGCTGCAGAAAGTCAGTGGAGTCGTGCGTAAAAGCGCAGTGCGCCTAGTTAAAAGGAGAAGTGCAAAAAGTAGGAGGGCGCGCGCCGAAACCGAAATCTAATTGACAGTGTAATCATTTCGCTATATGTAAATATAATGTGTGCTATCACTGCTGGTTCGCACAGCCCAATAATCATGGGGGTGATGACAGCTTCCAGATTTGATTTGTTATCCAGAGGAGCATCAATCAGGGAAACATGGTGAGGACATTATCGTCTTCACTCATCAGCTTTTCGTGTCTTTTGAGTACTTCTGATTGGTCTGTGTTATGGCGAATCAACATTGCCCATAGTCTTTTGTGTGATGACATTTGGATGACATCTAGTGTCAGCTCTGTGAAGTTGTTTTTTGTTTTTCAGAATACCAGAAAGAAAAGCAGTCAGCCACCCTCAGGGCTGGACTGGTAATCTGGATTGGGGAGGGGTGGGGGTCCGCTCTGGTCCAGAGTCTGACCCAGAGATGATTCTTGGCACAGATTCCTGCCACATCGGACCCGAAGTTAAACCTATCTTCTCTCTTTTTTAATGTAACTGCTCATCACTGGTCCACATAGCAGGTGCAGCGGTCCATTGTTTGTTTTCATTATAATGACAGCTGGCCCATCACGCCTCCTACAGGACTGTCTCCATAGCTCCCCCTCCCCACTCCCGTTGCTTCTGCTCAGAAAGTGAAAGGGTGCAACGTGAGTTCTAAACGATTCCGTGGATATGTAATGCTGCGTAGATTAAAAATACTTTGTGCAAAGACTCGGCAGTTCCAGCAGCATGGTTTGCTAACTGCAGTATCCACTAAAGCCACAGGAGGAGGGGCAGAGAGCGCAGTGAGGTCATATCCCATCGATAAGCCTTAGATCCAATGAAAGTGTTTCTGTTTCAGCTTAAATCTTTTGCTCCTCTGTGCTAAAATGTATGCCAGAGATGGTTATAATGTTGGAAGACTGTGACTAGTTTTCCAACTATATAAAGTTTGACTACTTAAAGTAGTGATACAGTTCAAATTTCACATTGCTTAAAGGGGACATATTATGAAAAATTCACTTCTACAGTGTTTTTGAACATATATTTGGGTAACCTGAGTGTCTACTGACCCACAAAATGTGAAATAAACCCATCCAGTCCTTTGTTTGTGGTCTGCACAAGTCTTACAACACAGAGAAAATTCTCCGTTTCAAATTTGCTCTCCTTGTGATGTCACAGTGGGATTCTGGTAAAAAACATCTCCTCCCCTCCCCTGGTATCTCCACCCATGGACTCCACCCCCAGCCTAGAACAACTTTTTCGTAGGTCTGCCATTTGTATTCTCGCTACAGAGGACTGATGTCTACCAGGAGAACTCAGGGGGGGCTCATTGCATTTAAAGAGACACACACACCAAATGGAGCGTTCTGAGAGAGCTGGTTTATACAGGGTCACAAACCTCCTCTGGTGCTTGATTCATGTTATATTTTGACCAAAGCACAGCACAGATGTTTCATTTAGACCACAGGGGGACTGTTTGAAAAGGTGGAAGAGGGGGATAATATGTCCTCTTTAATTTTTTGCAAACTTTAATTAATCCCATGAGGGGAAATTAATTTTACACTCTGTATTGAGACATGCTACACACACATTGGCCAAAATACACAATCAGGATCCTATATGCACTAATGAAGAGATGTTAGAGTGAGGGGTTGCACTTGAAAGAGCACCAGAGCAATTTGGGTTTTGGTTCCTGACTCAAGGGCACCTTGACAGTGCTCCAGTGAACTGGCACTTCTCCAGCTACCACACCAATTTCCAGACCTTGTCCATATTCGGACTTGAATGGGCGACCCTCCGGTTCACAACCGAAGTCGCTACAAACTCTCTCACATCTGAAACATCAGAATCAAAGATTAAACACATCATTAATTATTAAAGATCATGTCACTCTATTACCTGAGAACATTGTGCTAGCAGAATCCAGGCTTACATCGAGTCTCCAAAAGTAGTATGGGAGGCATAGCCTTCAAGCATGTCTTGTGTGGAATTATATTAATATGTAAGTTTGTTTCACAGAGGACAACCACGCCTCTGTGTTGTAGGGTAGGTTTAAAACATGGAAGCTGAATCAGTTCTGCCAGCCCCTCCTTGTTCTGCTATAAGCTTAGATCTCTGGGGGACTCGTGGCTCCTGTCATCAAACCAGATATGGCAGATTGCTGTCCATGAATGCATTCGGTTTTCTAAAGGCTAAATTCACAAAAAAAAAAAAACGTTGTTACTGTTGCCAAGGGATTGCTCAGGGTGGATTTTGCTGAATCCCTGTGATTAATATTTTGAAAAAAAAAAGAAAGACGGCCTAGACTTTTTTAAACATCTAAAATCATGAACTACTTCTGGTTTGATTTTAAAGGATATTCATGTTGATTTATTGATTGATGAACACTTATTTTGCATAGAACATGTTTGCATAAAGCCATCAGAAGATGGCGCTACAACACATGTCTTGTAAACTTCCAGAGTTAGACAGTCATATAGAAAGAGTGGCCTTCAGTCCTAAAAATAAACAGCTTCTTCAAATGTATCTTTAACCCCTTTTAGTGGACAAGAAAAGCAGTATTAAGAGACAAAAACAAATTTTGCCCTGTTAAAGAAATAGATGATATTCTTTGTGAAGCCTGAACATAAAGGGTCACACATGTCCACACACTGCACTGTGTAAACACATGTCTACACCCAGGTGTGTTAAAAATCACACATACAGTATGTATAGCAGTGGCCAGAAGTTTTGAGAATGACACAAATATTAATTTTCACAAAGTCTGCTGACTCAGTTTTTATGATGGCAATTTGCATGTACTCAGAATGTCATGAAAAGTGATCAGATGAATTGCAATTAATTGCGAAGTCCTTCTTTGCCCTGAAAATGAACTCAATCCCATAGAGAACTTGTGGTCAATCCTCAAGAGAAGGGTGGACAAACAAAAACCCACAAATTCTGACATTGATTATGCAAGAATGGGCTGCCATTAGTCAGGATGTGAGAAGCCCAGAAGATGATTGACAGCATGCCAAGATGCATTGCAGTGGTCTTGAAAATAAAGGGTCAACACTGCAAATATGGACTCTTTGCATAAACATAATTGTCAATAAAAGCCTTTGACGATGGTGAAATGCTTGTAATTATACTTCAGTATACCATAGTAACATCTGACAAAAAGATCTAAAAACACTGAAGCAGCAAACCAATACTTGTGTCATTCTCAAAACTTTTGGCCTCGGCTGTGTATGAATACATCCTCATCTCTGTGTCCTGTTCACCCACCAAAGTAAGTGTGCATGTGTCTGTGTTGTGTACCAGGGAGGTGAAGTCCTGAGCCTGCCACAGCAGCCAGACCTTGCTGAATGTGTACTGAGCCTTTCTCCATCACACAGTCCACGTGTCCTGCAGCAATCTTTAGCGTGAGAGGGCTCACCATCACCATCACCATCACCATCAACATCACCATCAGGTGCTGCCAAACAGTTTCCTGCACAAAAGCAGAAACAGGATGACGAGAAGCTGTGGAGAATCTTTCTGTGGTTTCCACCACAGTGTGCTTCACACCAAACACCCAACAGAAGCATTTACCATTTACCATCTGATATGTATGACCGCGAAAAAAGAAATGAGAAAAAAGAAATGGCTGCATTTGTGATCTTGAGGCTCAGTTGAATGATGAGATTATTTTTTTTAAATAATTACAATCATCATGCAATGTCCTCGAACAGTAACTGACATGTTAACATTTCTGTGAAGTTGTTCTAGGAGCAGTGGTGCATGCAGCATGCTGATGTTTAGTAGCATAGACATTGTTCACTATAGTAGTGCGAGAAGCCAAATAACAGTGGATGAAACTACAACATCACTTTGCCTGTGCAGAGCCAGCTTCATGACGGTTACAAGTCACACTTACAACCATGTGCACGTCATGTCTCATGATCCCCTCCAGCATCAGCTCAACACTAAACACAACAAAACTGAACAGCATGCACACCTATAAAGGGAAATTATATTTGATGTGCGATAACATTGTGCATTAATATCCTGACTGTATGTCACAACAAAATGTAGAATTAGTACAGAAGACCTCACTTGTTTTCTTTTTACTTTACATTTCTAAAATTAATATAGTATGTATGTGTTGCTGTATGTATGTGTATACGTGACAATAAAGGTGTTCTCTTTTATTAGCTTATTAGCATCAAACTGCACACAGCAGAGAGAATGATGGGAATGAATTGTGGCTCAAACATCTACAAATATGAATGTCTGTATAACTTCTATAACTATACATTGTTTATGCTAATACAGGATCTGTTGACTTCAACTACTTCATTTATATTCAGTCATATTATCATAACTATACTGTTATTAAATAATTGCAACATTCTTGTTTTTTTACATTATAATTGACATTGACAGCTCCCTCAGATTAAAAAAAAAGAAAATCAGACAGGATTTTTCTCATATTTTGGCATTAAAAAAAATCAATTCTTTATTCAATTCAATAATATTTCGTAATGATACATAATATTAAAATATAAAAAAAATCTTTTGAAGAAAAAAAATATTACAAAGAAATGAGCAATTAGCATGTGAGGAATTTTCACTCATCGGGAAACAATACAAATTTTGTCTTTGATTATAAAAGTTTCAAAATGTAGAAAATGGCATCATTCTTCCCATTTTTTTTCAAGAAAGGAACCCTTGACCCCACTCTAACTTAGAGATGTTTGGCTTGCAAGATGTCCCTGTCTGTAAGTAATATGACAAGGACCAAGGTCTAGACCTGCTCTTTTTGAAAAGTCTCCTGAGATAATCTTTGTTAGTATTTGGAGCTATTAAGTTTGTATATAAACTTCATAGCTCTATAAGAAAATGGTTGAATGATAAAAATTGATTGATTGTAAATCTTTCTGATAAATGCTATCCCTCTACTTTTCTATAAAATTGCCTGATAAACATATGACTAAGGACTGCCTGAAATGAAATGGATAAGATTCATGATCATGCAACTTCTTAACCCCTTTTCAAGCTTCAATCCTGACCCTCAACGCTTTGCCATTGTCATTCCCCACTCTCCCTCTCTCTCTCAATTTCTTACTTTATCAACTGTCTAAATGAAGGCATAGGCCCCCCTAAATTCTAAAAAGATAAAAAAAGTGGTAATGACGGCAGGTCTTAGTTACAGTGCTGTTGCAGAATAGAGTCTTGAAAGGCTATTACATAACAGATTATGTAGAGTGGTGTCTGACACCATGCAGATGATCTTTGCTCCAGTGTAGGAGAGAGTAGAAGGAACTTGGTACGATCCTTTTTCTCCAGCCCACAGGTGCTAGTGATCAGGAGATGATGGATATGGAAGGACAACTACAAAAAAAGAGGAAACAATAACATCTTTCATATTCCACACACTCATTTGTTTAAATTTTCATATAAAAACAGTTTCTCTGCAGACTACAGTTATCCTGTTTGTGAAAGTTGTACACTGACCTTGTCTCAGCTCAAGGTCCTCCACAACCGTCTTATTCTTCTAGTTGAACTTCTTCTGTTTGCTCCAGCAGATGATCACTATTAAAGCTGAACGAAAAATCAAGCACACATGAGCTAGATTTAAAAAAAAAAAGCATTCCTGTGACTGCATAGGTCAAATCACTTCCCCACACTTTGTGTACTTACCAATTAGAACGACAGGTATCAGCACAAGGCGTAGCAACATCACAATGTACAAAGTTGTTACCAATTTAAGGTTCACCATTGTGTGTCCAAACTCTATCTGGGATAAAGGAATAAACATATTTGAAAGGAAAATAAAGGCAACACATATTCTTCTGAGGTCTTTTCTACAACTACATTTACTACAATAACATTTGCATTTCATTTTTCCCCCGAGTCCTGCATAACTAAGTGCAATATATTTATTCTATACCTGTCACCTGTAAATTAATTGTAAAATTGTATGCTATATCGTATTATTTAATTGTATTTCTTATTCGAATATTTGGCTTTAGTATTTGTATATTTGTATATTTTCTGATATTAGGTATCTACAGACTTGCTCCAACAATATTTTTTGTACTTGTACAGTGACAATAAAGATATCTCATCTCATGTCATGCTTAGTGTTGTATGGCTGAAAGTTTTACCTCTAACTCCTGAAATGTAGCAATGCGAGTGTTTCGGATCTCACAGGTAAAAAATTCAATCTCAGTCTCATCATTGGTTTCTTGGTCCACCATGATGCAGGGGTGTCGATTTTCTTCAGGAATGCCCCACACAGACAACTCTGTTATGTTCATCCCTAGTTTGTCTGCCTTTTTCTGAAACGAAAACAAAGACATGAGCGGATTTCAAACTGTTGATTTCCTAGTTTATAACATTTGTGCTAAAATTACCTGTATGGTGATGCGGACATCATTCCCTGTCATTGTAGAAGAGAAGCTTGTAAACTCAGGGTCTGGGTAGTAGGTTATTGTTGTGGAACAGGGCAAGGTTTCATTTGCTACTTTCAGAGACAAAGTGCTCGAAAAAGTCCAGTAAGCATTTGTAGCTGCAGGCGAGTCATAGGTGAGAGTCTGTAGAGCCTGTCAAAAGATAATCATTTAATATACTGTATAAGCTGTGTGCTGCATGTTGTGACTAGACAAGCTTGATAACTGAGCAATGCAATGTTACATCATGTAAATGTGTCTAGATTTAAGTGACTACAAGTTTACTCATCTTATGCAATGTTCTGTTGAATAGAATAAAATACATAAAGCACATTTCATTACAGGGAAGCTCAATGTGCTTTACACTGATGATATAAACAAAGGATTTCAAGAAACAAACAGGTACTTCAACAATCATGATACAGATACAGAAATCTAACTTTTAAAAAAGCACACATCCAATGCACATCAGAGACATCACATAGCAATTACACTAAATGATCTAATTCTTGGTGCGACTAACAGATCTTCACTTGATGACCTGAGGGCCCTGGTAGGGTTGAAGTCTGTGAACAAGTCAAACATATACTTGGGAGCTGAACCCTTAAGTGCTTTATGGACTAATAACAGGATTTTAAAGGTGATTCTGTATAGCATGGGGAGCCAATGGAGATTGAGGACGGGAGTCATATTTTCAAATTAGCTTGTGTGTGTGTCAGGACTCTGGCTGCTGAATTTGGAATAAGTTGGAGTTGTCTCACTGATTGTTTGGATAGCCCGGCATACAGAGCATTGCAGCAGTCTAACCTAGTTGAAATCAATGCATGGACTAATTTCTAAACATTAAATGGTAAATGGACTTGAGTTTGTATAGCCGTTTTCTAGTCTTCTGACTACTCAATGCGCTTTACACCACAGGTCACATCTACACATTCACACACTGATTGTAGAGGCTGCTGTGTGAAGTGACCATCAGAAGTAAATGATCCAATTCATACACATTTATACGCTGCTGACAAAGCAGTGGGAGAAACTTGGGGTTAACTGTCATGCCCAAGGACACATTGGACATGTGGCTGCAGAAGCTGGGGATCAAAACCCTGACCACAGCTGCTCCAATTTGAGAAGTGACAAAACTTTTTAGGAAATGAGGTTGAATCAGGCAGCATGATATGATGTGACATGAGTAATGTAAAAATAATGTTTGTCCACAGACCTGATAGGTGTCGTGATTGGGCAGTCTGACTTCCTGCAGGACTTTGCTGTGTTTGATAGCTTCCACAAGCTCCAGGAGAGATCCCATTAATTTGATCTTCCGGTTTCCACTATGAGACACAGAGCAGCAAACAAGAATGATTTTAGTGCACATTGGATACCAGGGAGGGTTCTTACCATGATGGCCTCATACGGTTATGGAACGAGCATCTATCGCTTCCACGTAAATCTGGGTTTCCAACAAATTATTAATATGGGTCCTTAAAGATAGATTTTTTACTAAAGACATACCGATCCGGACTGGTTTAGAAAAGACATACTGCCACGAGCACAGTCATGGTAGCAAAGCATGCAAAATAACTGAGAATAGTTTAGATGGAAATGAGTGAGAAAAACTGTTAATGTTTTAGGTAGAAATGAACAAAAATGCTCTAGAGCAGGGGTGAGCAATTGGTGGACCGGGGGCCACATGCAGCCCCCATCAACCTCAGGGCCCTCAGGTCAATTTTTACATATCAATTAATTGGAAACATGAAAAAATCTGCTATGAACACATGAAAACCAGAAATATGTCCATAATAATATTTGATCACTGGTATATGTTGAGTTAAATTTGAGACATAATTGACTGTAATCGTTTTTGTATCCTACAATTTGGCGCCCTGGCAGTGAGAATTAAACCAATGTGGCCCTTTTTGTGACCAAAGATGCCCATCCCTGCTCTTGAGTAATAAAATGGGGATCAGGTTCAAGGTCAAATTAGCATTATTTTATTAACTGTTATACTTAGAGTATGAAGAAAAATGGATGCACAAGGCCCTTTTATATAAATTGCCATACACTTGATTTGTATGTCTTCTAACACTGCTGTTTGTTATAAGGTTTGTTGGGTACAGAGGCAGAAGTGGAACTTTCTGTAGCTAACAAACCCTACAAAAGGGAAGTTGTCTAATGCTGAAACAAATTAGTTCTGGGAAGTTCATTTTCCCCATATGACGAAAACCTGTAGCTGTCTCTCAGTTACTGAAAGTGTTTCCTAGAATAAATCTCTTCCAAAGTTAGTGACAAAGCACTGGCTTCCATTAAAGACATTCCACTTGAGTTTCCACTACCCCTTATTTGTAATGTTACAAGAATCAGTGTCAAATGTTTGTGTGTTTGAATTGTCTTCAAACGTTTTTTGATGTGTCGTATTTTCCGCACTATAAGGCGCACTTAAAAGCTTTTAATTTTCTCAAAAAACGACAGTGCGCCTTATAATCCGGAGTGCCTTATATATGGATCAATTGGTTAATTGGTTGATCCATACTGGTTGTACACGGCACTCAGCGACACTGACTCGGATAATGACGAGAGGGAGCCGGGCATGTTGGATGCCGTACTCGCCCAACTGTTCAATTCGGACACTGAAGAAGAAGAATTCGAGGGATTCGTGGACGGGGAATGAACTGAAAAAGTAAGCTTTACGTGTTATACGTAACTGAACAATGTTGAGTTATGCACTAACGTTTGAATTAGCGATATCAGACTGTGTTTCTTTTACGTGTTTACAACTGAACAAGGCTGGGAGATATTGTGAATATGCACATTAACGTTTGAACAACATTGAGTTATTGTGAATGCACTACGTATAAAACATAGTTTTATACGTATTTATATTTATATATTCACAATATCTCCCAGCCTTGTTCAGTTGTAAACACGTTCTATTCTATGCGCCTTATAATCCGGTGCGCCCTATATATGAAAACAGTTCTAAAATAGACCATTCATTGAAGGTGCGCCTTATAATCCGGTGCGCCTTATGGTGCGGAAAATACGGTATTTAACTTAACCAGTCATGTTTTGTCCACAAAACTTTGGTAATCAAAGTCTGTGTATCTGCATTTGTTATCATTTTTGTAGTCCTAAAACATTGGTTCCCAACTGGGTGTCTGGGCCCCCCTAGAATGGGCGCTAAAGAGCTTAGTGAGGCTAAGATACAAGTGGCCAGGCTCCAAGCAACAAAGGTTAGGAAACACTATTTTAAAACAGTCATACCTTATCCAAGTGCTGTTGGGTGAAATGCTCGTGCAGGATGATGCCGATCGGTAGGTGATTTTGGCGCTGCCATGGCAACTGCCATCTGGGAGGAGAAGGCATACATTGACTACTCCTTTATTTTCTGCACTGGGAATGTGAAAGGTCAGATTTTCACCAGTGTTGTCCCAAACAGGAAACCTGAATAAAATAACAGAGAGAGAAACAACAGTTGTTAATCATACATTAATATTCACTTGTCTGCATGGGAAACTTTTTTGAAACATCTTAAGAACTAAAATCATAGTAAGAAGCATTGCACCAAAATCTGCCACAAAATAATTTAACACCCGTTTTAAATGTAAAAGTTGGTGTCTACAGATTGCATCCATCCAAATAAAATTGTCTGAAAACAATTCCGTTTTCTAGAAATTGCATGTGTGAAATAGGCTATTCAATTATTATATGAAATGTTAAGAGTGTTAGAAATAACTCACTCTTGTGGTGTGCAGTCTGCCTGGAACCTCACTCTGATCACAGAACTGAGGTTAAAACCCTTCAACACTGCATTGTTTCTGCCGTAGAAGGACACAACACTGGGAGTGATGGAGGAGATCTGTGGCCTCTGAAAGTAAATGTGCACTAGATTATTATTATGTGAATGAGGTGAAAACGAGGGAAAACAGTGTGTGAGAGTTACGGTTCAGACTCACTGAGAAGTTCATCCATGACTCCATCATCTGGCAAACACTGTCCTGCAGGAGAAGGTGAGTAGAATATGTTTAGGCAGGTTTCCATGACATGCGTTGGAAAGGGATTAAGCTAACAAAGTTCAAAAACATGAAACAGTACAAAAAGGAAGCTTAAGGATTAAGGAAATTTTAGGAAATAAAAATAATTACATTTCCTACTCCTTTATTGGCCCAGGAACATCCATTTGTGGTCCAGCCACACCCAGCATCAATGCACTGCCGACACCTGAAGACAAAACAGTTTATGTAGTTTTCTTAGGCACAGCGCTACTTGGTCCGGTTTAGGGGAAATGTCATTGTTTTTGTTAAAACTATAAGTTAACCTGATCTTTTAACAACACACCAACAGGTTTATTCTGAACTCTTTCACTTCATTTTTCAGCACAGGAAGTTGCTGCTTATCTCTAACAGGGTCGGCTCTTCCTGATGCAGTACAGGGCAACTGGAAAGGATCATGTTGAGGAAATCAAGGCCATGTGAACCTTAAATGTTAGCTAGAGTTGAAGGTGGTGTTCATTCATACATTTAGAGACATTAGCAAGGCATGACAAAATTCTTGCTGGGACTGTGAAGTCATCTGGCAGGAATGACAGGAAGAGCTAAGTATCGTCAGCATAGCAATGGTATGAGAAACCATGAGAGCAGATATTTGCATCAAGTGTGGTGGTGTATATTGAGAAGAGAAGGGGACCGAGCACTGACCCTTGAGGCACCCCTTTGGATAAATTGTGTGCACCTGATGGGTAATCGTGTTGAACCTTATAGCAGAGATTTCTAAGGAGACTAGTCTGTGAACTGCCGACTTATTCAAGTGCAAAACTCATCCCTGCCTCAGATATACCAAAATATAACAGGAAATCCCCCAAATTTGAAGGGAAAACATTGGTTTTCAGACTTCCTCTCTAGATAGCTCATCTTAAGGAAACTGTCTGTTTTCCATCATTTTTTGGTTCATTTCAGTCTTTGCAAAATAGGGGCTTGACAAGTTTAGCTATTCTTTCTTATTCCTTATTGTCTACGAAGATTTGTAGAAAATGAATAGTAGACTTACAAGACAGATGTTGGTGGTCCACTAATTTTGGTGCAGTTGAGAAGGTTCAGCCGTTCTAACAGCTCTGTCGTCCCAAATCCAACCTTAAGTTTAATAGGCAGTCCTGTTAAGTAAAAAAATAAATACAGGGAATATTGAACCTTTTTAATTTCATGAAATTCTTGACTGTCCTTGATTTGAAATACTTCAATTCCCTTGGTTATCTTAGAATAATAAAATTGCTTACCTTGAGCAGGAAATGTAGTATTTTCAAGTATGAAGGTGCACTGTGGGAACTGTAGTTTAGGGTTTTTCATTTTAAAATTTTCTAATTGACAGGTGAAGTTAGAAAGTGCACTCTTGCCCACCAACAGATGCATCTGGATGGTAAGTGTGATCTGAGGAAAGTCCAGATATGAGAGTATGAAACATGAATTCAAAGATTCATCCAAAAAGCAACTGTACTTGATTAAAGTTCTGGAAGATGTTTTACCTCTTCTCTGAAAGGATTTTCTTTGGACCGATCTTTCAGAGTGAAGGTGAAATGTCGTGAGAACTTCCACTAAGTCCAGTTGCCTTTTGGATTACACTTGAAGTTACCATGACCTGGACGAATGAGAACCTTCAAAGAAAACTGATAATAATTCAAAACTTGTATATAGCCTGCACCTGTCCAGTGTTTTCCTGTGCAACTTTGTATGAGACCATCTTCTGTTGAGAATCATCAGGAATGGACAGCCAGTCTGAGTCTTTGCAGTCATCTTGAAACGTACAGCTAGGAGGAGAAAAATGAAGTTTTTAACAAGTGTTTATTTGCATGAAGACGTTGTTGAAAGATCAGAAAGAGTTATGCAACTGTTGAATTTGTTTTTATCATATTTTTACTTTTTCTTTTATTATCATTTAATCAATTTATCATTTATGTCATATCTTTACTTTTTCTTTTATTATCATTTAATCAATTTATCATTTACTTAATATATTTATGTTTTCTTTTGTTATCACTTAATGTTTTCATCATATTCATTCATATGCCATATAGTCGCTATGACTTTTGTTTTTTGGCTTTTATATTAATATTTCCTGTCAATTCTACACACACCCGCGGTGCCTATGCACCTGAGAGGTCAGGATGAGTGTGCCATAATTTGAGCAAAACCACGTACGAGCTCGTAGGCGTATAGCGTATTTGCGAATCTGCCTGGTTCACGGTCTTCGAGCTTGAACCACATACTAACTTAGTATCACTTGTGTTACCTTGTATGCCTTGACATCAAAAACACATATGAACTTGTTTGAACTTGGTATAAACTGTGGATGTATCATGCTTCTGCGAATATGCATTGTTGAGGTTTTACAGAATTTTGAAAAAAGAGATAGTTTGGCTATAAAAAGGCTGTAGAAAAGCTGATCGAGGTTCTTTTTTGCTTTTCTAAAGGACTCCACGTCACTCTGACTTTTGAATCCCCATTTTGGGACTTAGTCTCTGAGACCAAGATCTTTTAAAACCTCAAGTGTCTACACTCTCGGGTTTAGACTTTGGTCTTTGTGTTTTGCTTTACCTTTTTACAATTTTATATTTTTACTTTTACTGTTATGTATTTGCACTTATATTATCATTTGAAGTTTTTTAATACATTTTCGGAAACTTTTTGAAATCATTTTCTGACTGAAATCATTTACACCACAAAGACCGGAGTCTCCCTTAAGGACCCAGTGAACCTCGGAAGGTAAACTTGAGCAGTCACACTTCTACTGACTTTTACTACACACCTCATACACACCTAACATCCTAGCGTGGGGAGTTCATAGTTATTCCCTCTCCGGGTGGAATCTAGAGTCCTATACCAGGGGTTATTCTTGAATCTAATTATTCTAGAAATGAATGTTAGACAGATAATCCTAGGAATGTGATTATAACTTGTTCATCTGTCCTCCAAAGGGTGTTAGCGGAGTAATTTTACATAGCTCCAGGTACTAGGAAAGAGTAGACTAGTGGCTGGTAGGGAGCGAGATCTCACTTAGTTCTAGAAAAGAGTAGTCTAGTTAACTAATGGGTGGTGAGCTTCCGTTAGCTATAGTAAAGTTTTTCACTCCTTTTTGCATGTCCAGGACATGCTACAAGGTCAACTGCAGATGTTGTTTCTCTGACCTTTTGTCAGATCCGCACCAAACACAGTATGGATCCTGTGCAGACCAACAGTCCTGCAATGTTTTGTAAGTGCTGCACTTTGACACTGGAACACGATTTATCTATGAAAAAGAAAACACAACACAACACAAAGCAACTTAGCAGCACTTTATAATACAGCATGCATATGTCAAAAAAAGGTACCACAAATAAATCCAAAAGAGAAATAAACCTACCTGGTTTTGAAATGGCACGTACACATGTTTAAGATCCACCTGATCTAGATGTAATGTCTGAAACACTTTGCGGTCGTCACTGGTTTTGAAAAGCACTCTGGAACACGTGGTCTGGTACTTCTTGTCCACAGCAAGCTGAAAGTCAACACATAGTTTTATCTTTCTGTGAGACTAAGCTGCTCTGCTGACGGATATATTTGGAAAGTTATTTGCAGCCACAGTCAGCGGCGGCTGTGGTAATTTATTTTTCTTTTTTTTGAAGTACAGTTGCATTAGCACGAATGTCTGGTTAAAGCAGGGATGTCAGACATATGGCCCGCGGGCCGTATCCGGCCCGACAGCAGGTTTCATCCGTTTCATCCGTTTTGTGAAGAAGGAGTAAATGTATTGAAAAATATTTAGAGATTCTTTATAAATTAAATATTTGTAATATGCTACGTATTTTCCCCGAATTGTATTAAAACCTATGTAAAATGAGCAACGTAAAGGTTGATATCATGATACGAATATTAATTAAACAGGGCACAAACTATCTTCTCAGCAGGGAGTATCACGAGCTGCTCCTGCTTTACGCTGGTAATACATCACATCAGAAAACACACTGAACACCTGAGAGAGGTGACACAGAATGCAGGTTTTCAATAGAGATCGAAGGAGCGATATTTCTTTAGTTTTATTTGCTCACAAGTTGCCAGAATCGTATCAAAGCTACGGAACTTAACGACAGGCACACCGCTGCACTGCGCGGTCTACAGCTCTGTGCACACTTCTTTCCAGTTTCTCCTGTCTTCACTGATGTAAAACAAAAGTTTTGACTAATAATAACAAAGCTTCCTATGGAGTGAGCCACAAAGAGCAGCTCGTGCAAATAAAAAACAATCATCTCCGCCATGCGTAACGGCCCAGACCGTCTCCACACATCCAGACTAAGTGTAGGTTGTGCACACCGGCGTTTAGCCTGATGCATCGACCGAATAGTTTTACCTCTGGTTATTGTAAAAACAGTAAATTAAAATGAATATTAACTGATTTTAATTACAGATGGTTCATTTTTAGGTCACCCAGAGGTGAACGTGTTGTGTTGATCATCTAAAAGTTTCAGCGCAACATCGCTTCTAAATGCAGTAGCCTGCTGTTGCACCTTTATCACCAGCTTTCATCAGCTGAAGGATCAATTCAAGTCTGTTGGTTTGGAAACATGTTATCATTTTATAATGCCTAACACTAAAATACCCGAAGGTGACTTCGGTCTTTGCATCAAAGACACTCTGTGTGTTTGTGATAACTTATTCATGTGAGCAGGTTTTATCTGTAATGAACCTCAACGAGTGCAAACTGTGCTGTGGCCTGACACACACAGATCTAAAGTCTCTCTCTCTCTCTCTCTCTCTCTCTCTCTCTCTCTCTCTCTCTCTCTCTCTCTCTCTAATGCACTGATCCCAGGGCAGGTAGAATAACCTGTGTCAAAGTTTCTATAACCTTGAACAGCAATATTAAAACATAATATAATAATCTCAAACAAAACATAATTAATGATGTTGTCTTCTGTAATGTTATGTATTTAAATATTTCCATGTGCCAACATGCAGTTTGCAATGACAGAGTTAACACTTCTGCTTAATGTACTTTTACATTTTATGCATTAACATGCAGTTTTTTTTGCAAGTACCTTTTTTGTCTTTTATTCTCATCATACAATTAAATAATTTCTTAAATTGGTGACTTTCAGCCTCAGGGGTACACTTGTTCACCTCCGACACCATGAAGTGTTCAAGTTAACCCTGCATTTAGTGTAGAAAAAGAAAATGGCTCCAAGTCCAGCGACATCAACGCAATATTTATTACAGCAGAACATAGTTTGTGTTTGGCATCGAGGCTCATAAAATCTGTGGGAGCTGCTCAGAGTTAGGGTACCCAGAACCTTACTGGTGAAAAATTGAAAATGTTAACCTGAGGTAGCGTGTGAGGGGTCAAACTAAGATTTTTTTAGGATTCTCAATCCATTGCAAGCATGTTTAGCACAAAATCCACTCCTTGGTGGCACATTGGTTAATGTGTGAGCCCCATGTATGGTGGCTGTCTTCCAAGCGGGCGGTCCAGGTTCAAATCCCGCCTGTGGCTCCATGTCATTCCCCACTCTCTCTCTGATTTCCAACTATATCCACTGTCCTATCGCTCCATTAAATGCACAAAAAGCCCCAAAATAAAAATCTTTAGAATCCAGTCCTTGGTGGGAAAACAGCCACGCTCACTGATATCAATGTCTCGAATACTAGTTAGAAAACAATACTGCACCACAATGTCAAATTAGAGCTTCGATTGGGCCCGAAATATCCAGCCTGACTGGACCCAAGCCAGGCCCGACCATCCAATTTGCTGTATCTATGGGCCTGACCCAGAAGAAACCCCAACTTTCAGCAGCTCTCAAGGATTTTCTGAACACATTGGTGAAGAGTTTTCTTGGTATTGAATTCATTCACAGATTTTTTTTTTACTGTAACGCTCTCCTTTATGGTCTACCAAAGAATATTCATTCAGCTCCAACTAATTCCTGTGATTTTAAAAAGGATTGTATTAGTTTATTAAGCACTGCATGGCCTTGCACTGGACTACGTCTCAGAGATGCTTTAAGTTTATGAACTAAAGATCCTCCAGCTCATCTCTTTAAATTATTCCACAGAGAAAAACAAAGATTTTAGGTGACACTGCTTTCAGCCACTACGCTACAAGGCGCTGGGACGGTCTGTCGAGGATCTGGAACTATTAATACTTCTAAAAATTATTTGATAAAAAAACATATCTACTCAGTCTGGCTTTTATGTAGGCTAATGGTTTTATTAATTTTATTACTATTTTTTAATCTTTTATTTTCTTAACTATTTTTATTTTTCACTCTTTACCTTTTTACATATTATTTTTATTATTCCTCTTGGTGAGCATTAGTCTCTACTTCTAAATCCATTTTATTTTTCACCATGTTTTGTCACTATTTAGTGTTTTTCTCCTCATTCGTCAGCTGCTGTAAAGCACTTTGAATTGCGTTTGATTTGTATGAAAGGTGCTATAGAAACAAAGCTTGATTGATTGAAGCATCATTATTGAACTGAACTAGATTCCCCTCTTGGCTTCTCTTTCTGTCGTTTAATTTCTCCCAGTCTGCAGTAATGTTGGCTTCCAGGCTCTTCTTCTTTCAAAGTAATTTCCTGAGATAGTGAATGTTCACTTTTTACACTCACCTTAATGAGCTGCCCATCTCCCGTCCCGATGAAGAAAACCATCCAGTTTTTCTGTCTCACTGCCAGCACAGAAGTCATGTAGTTCTTCCTGAAGATCACCTTCTTCGGCTTCAGTGTCTTTGGCTTTAAAAGAGACAACAAATACCTCATCAGATATCACAACAGTGTTTATAATAACGGCCAATTACGGCTCATTACTGTCAACTTCCGTTCATCGGGTTGTTTTTATTTTATACTATATTTCATATTATTATAATATACATACTTATATATATATATTTTAGAGACATATGACCTTACTTGAACTAATCTAAAATGAATTCATATCTAAATGGGTGATACGAATCTGCAAAAACAGTCAAGACAATTTCCTGACACGTTCATTGATTTTTTTCTTTTCATTTTTAAATAAGTCAGCATTGCCTTGTTCCTTTCGAAAAAGAACTGACAACCAGACAAGATTGCACTTTGAATTAACTGTCAATACTTTTTACTTGATTATGAAAATGTTTTTAGATGCAGAAACTTCTCCTAAGATTATTAGTAGTAAATATGATGCAACAAAGTGAGCTTCTTTTTCCTCCGTGCATTTGTTTCTCTAGCTTTTTAGAGCTTGCTCATTTATTTCAATAAGGATTCCAATTAATGATTATACGGGTTCTTTTTTATTCTGGACGTGTGTTTGCTTGCACTTGAAATGGAAGATTGTTTCAGTGTGGTGTGATAAACCTGGAAATACTAACTCTGTGTTGAGACAACATCTTATGCTCTATTGAAACTTTTTGTACATTATGACGCACCTCCTCCTCTTTCTTAGAACCACAGTTAAAGCAGAAGTCCGGGTCCATATCTTGCTCTCTGGTGAGATCAGGGCTGATGTCGAACAGCACCAGCTCGGTGTTGGTTTGTCCTCCGTCCACACTGAACACGCCGCACCAGAGCACCGGCGGACCGCCCGGGATCACCGAGGAGGCGATCAGTCTGAGTCCTTTCTCTCCATCAGAGACTCTGAGAGTTGCGCCCCGGAGCGACTTCACAGTCTGATGTTTGCCTCCTTTGCCTTCAAGCCAAAGGAGACGGACTTTGTTGTTTCTGTCTTTTGAGGGCAGATTGGAGAAAAGATAGATGATGGAATGAATCTGAAATCCATCCACAAACTCCACATCGTCTTCCCGTATGATTTTAGGACGTCCTATCGCTTCGCTATTCATAGAAAATATTTGTCCTGGTTGATTGTTATTCGTGTTACGAAGGTTCACTGCATCTGACAAAGGTGGGCAGCCTGTCTTTGTATTCTTGTATTGCTGCACGGTGGTGAGAATGTAAGTCTCTGCCCGGGTCCGAGTCTCCACACTCACCAGGCGGCTCACGGACGCACTGCTGCGCAACAAAGAACCTACCTCGATTTGTTCCCAGTACAGCACATTGGCAATGTTCTTCAAGTCCAACAGTTCACAATAACCGCACCTCTTATCAATAACACCGCAAACTATCACATTTTCGTCTGCAACATGCGGCAATAACACGTTGACACTGAACGTAACATTCCCCATATCAGAAGATCGGTTTAACTTCAGGTCATCTTTGCCAGGAATGTGTGCCAAGAATCCTCTCTGGCTCAGACTCCGGACCAGAGTCAGGTCGTGGTTTAGTTGGTACAGCATCTCCTCAGTAGCGATGTAAACCGTACCATTGGCCACGGCGAAGTGACGAAGGTCTCCCTTTAAGTGAAATCTTCCATCCTCCTCCAGGCACTGAGCCGCTTCTCCCCAAAGAATTAACAGAGCAGGCAGGAGGATCATCATCGTGCAGAGATGGCAGCTTGTCGCTCATACACTGACGGTCCTCATGACACTCTGCACTGCTGCAGAAAGTCAGTGGAGTCGTGCGTAAAAGCGCAGTGCGCCTAGTTAAATGAAGAAGTGCAAAAAGTAGGCGGGCGCGCGCCAAGCGGAACCAAAAACGGACAGCGTAATATTCAGAGATATGATGATTGGCATCATTTTACATTGTTGTATTTGTCCCACATTTATCTCGTTTTTAATGAAATTCATGAATGTATTTATTAAGTGCGCGAATCTTGAATGATTCCAAGATTTCACTTGACTAATCCGGTGATATCCCAGAAGAAAATTAAGTCCGCGGACCAGGGTGACGACATTATCACCCCCATTCAGCATCAACACATCTAGAGCTCGTCTGCCTTAGTCCTGGACAATGTAAAGGCTGACATCTAGTGTCCCCTCTTAGAAGTGCATCTAAGGTTTGGAGAGGAAGCGGTGCACTGTGCCATGTATCAACCACCCTTGAAACACATTCATAAAGTCTTTTTTGTTGGTCCCCCATCTCAAACATGTCAAATGCAGAGTCCTAAGAGAGAGCAACAGCTTCCACACAGCTTTAAACCATGCCTAGGAGTTACATGCGTTACAGTTTATAACTGAACAGAAGTGTGCAGAAAATAACTTTTTAATGTCAATAACTATTTGATTTAAAACGTAAACCTAACTTAATCTTAAACATTTGTCAGATAGATATCATTAGATCCTGTGTGACGTCGTTTTACGTCCTTTGCTAGGTGAACTGTGTTACACCTCCTGCAGCAAAGTTTTTTTTGGTCTTCCATCATGAGCGATTTACTGTGGGGAAAAGTGTTGTTGTGTGAAAAAAGTATCCTTAAAGATTTTACACAGTATGTATCCTGCGAAAGAAGTGCCGGACAGATTTAAACTCAACATAGATTACTCTTGTGTTATTTGCAATTCAGTGAAGGAAACTATATTCCATTTGTTTTTTCAGTGTAAACATTCAAGCTCATTTTTGGACAAATTTGAAAGACTATGTAAATATAAAAACTGGAACAGATTAAGTTGATGTTGTGTTACATTTTGATTCAAATGGATTTTCTGTTAATGTAATTTATATAATTCAAATCCTTATAATCCTTGGAAAATTCCACATCCAAAAATCAAAATGGACTACCTCGAAACTCTGCTTTCATCGTTTTCTTGTCGAACTGAAATAATACTGCACCTCAATTGAATATGTTCAACACAGATATGTCGTATGTTGAAAGGAATTTTGTTTGAATAAAAACTCATGCATTAGGGACATCGGTCTCCCTGCTGGCTTGTTCAGAGTTTCTTATATTTCTATTTCTAGACATTATATATGGAATGATTAAAACTACGACTGTTTGTCATACCTCTTTTTTTAAAAGTCCGTTGCTTGCGTTACCGCCTACTGCCGCTAGAGGGCGACATCTCTCTTCAGTTTGGATATATAGAGGCATGCAGCAGCAGCCTGGTCAGGGGCAGCAGAGTGTCGACAAATCCAGCAGCTCCGCTCCGTATATTTCCACTGACCCCCCGTCTGAGGGATTCACTCATCCAAGTCAGAGCTGCAGCGTCCGTTCCGAGGGGATCACAGTCTGTCAACACAGCTGTAGGCTACATCCAGAGGTGCGCTGTGTCCACATCTGGGAAGGTCAGACGGATCATTTTTTTTTGTTCAGCGGAACCTGGCAACTTTTTTTTGTGCGTTTTAATTTCTCCTCCTGATCAGCGTTGCACTGCACTGCAGCGTGCATTCAGCTTGGTGAGTCTTGAGCGCCAGTGTTTTCATCTCAGGTGGAGACTACGTTATTTTTGGGTAGAGCACTGCAACACTAGTGAGGTTAATTTTCTAAATATATAATGTAACAACAACGGGAGGTAATGCAGGAACTGTCTGTTCACTCTGAGATTGAGCTATTGAAAAAAAATCCCCATCATCTTTGTGCAGCATGACATTTTTTAAATCCTGCTCTTGTGTTAAATCATTTTCACATTATATGTTTCCTGTAGGATGGACAGTAATGAAGTGATGTAGTATAAAAGCCAGACTTCTTGCATTGACTTAAAACTGAAGAAAAAAGAAAGATAAAATAAAGTGCAGGTTTAAGTGTGGTTAACAGTTTTCTCAGCATGCCGTATTATCTTACTTTGCTGCATCTTCTGCCTCATCCTTCCCCTGTTGGGTCCGAGGACGTAATTGGCATTCATGAGCCGCTCCGAGTGTTGCGCAATAGCACCACATCTCAATGGGATTGGGATTTAGGGTCAGTCAGCATGTCCTCCTACACCGGTGCTTGCCAAACCAAGGTCCAGGGAAACCCAGGGGTCCCAAAGAAGCTTGTGTGGGGTTGATGCCAGCAAAATGAAGATGGGTTATAAGGATGGAAAAGGAAACCGCATTGTTTTACTACAGTTGCTTACATAAAGGTCTCTATTCTAAATATTTGTCCCACCTCAGAAGAGTCGTTTGTTCCCCCAGAGAAAGAGAAAATCTTCTCAGACAGGAGTGTTTATAAGTGTTTAAACAATGGTCTAAAGTCCATCAGTATGAGAGCTGTCTGTCAGAGACCCGTCTGCAGAATGTTTTTAACTAAAGAGCACAGGGAATAACCATAGTATAGACTTAGTATATGACTCTATTGCTAACTTTATTGTAAGGCCTATAGGTTGACAGTAAGGTGACTTAAAAATACCTTTCAGATTTGTATCATTCTTCCCTCTTACTGGTTTCACTGGTTTCCCTCAGAGGCAGTGCACCAGTCCACTGTATGTATGTTGATGACAGGCCTGTGGGTTTGCAGTCTTTCTATAGCCTGTGGTGCAGCAGGTCTCCTCCCTTGGTTTGGAGCTCCGAGGTCTGTAATCTCCCTGAACCGCAGCACCACCACCACCCAGATTCATTTCTCAGGTTAAAAATGACACAAAAACCAGCTGGGCACACGCACTGGGAAAAAATATACACGTGCCTAGTGCGACAGTTTGGAAGGAGTCCCTTTAGAGTAGAGGTCAGCGAGTGAGAATAGCTGTGCAGAGGGCACAGGGTTCATCACATGGACACCGGACCTTAATACTCATCTATTTTGCAAAATATTTCACGTATTTTTAGTTACATAAGAAGTTGAATTATTCCGTTTTATGACGCTGTAAATCAAACATTTTTTAAAGTAGTACCAGTACATTTAGTTTCCATCATTTGACTAGTTGAAACTTGATTTCTTTTGAGCTTTTTCTGTGGCCTCAGTTTAGAATTTTTGTCCTCTGTACAAGTTTGTTGTGTGCTTCCTTTAAATCAAGTACCTGCTTTTGATTTTTGTTTATCGTAGCTTTATGTTTTTTTGTATGACTTCTCTTAAAAGTGACATTTATCAATATCTTAATGTGTTCTCATTCTCAATTCTTCACTCTCTTAATGCCTTACCAAACTCTTTGCGTCTTACTGTGATGCCATAGGTTCCCTCCTTAAGCATCTGAGTATGAGATGTCAGCCTTTGAAGTGACTGATGTGTATAAACATCAGCTGCGATATTAGCTGAATGTTCAAAAATATTCTGTTAAAGCTCCTGTGAGGAGTTTTAACAGAAATCTTTAAAGCAGAAATGACCATCAGGAACAACACTGATCATTTCTATATAGTAGTTTTAAATGGTTGTAAACGTCGCCGCAGGGTAGGTGTCAGACTTAGTGAGTTACAGCACACTGCTGCCTTTCTTTGCATTTTCCACGACAAATATTCTCCGCTTGTGATCTAAATGATAATTTAAGGGAAGCAGGATGAGATTTTTTAATCAGAAAACACCATGTGATGAGCAGAGAAAATATTATGTTATGCTTCGTCCACAGGGGGCGCCAATCAACACAACCCAAACGTTCCTCACAGGAGCTTTAAGTGGAAAGATAGATGAGACTGTTTGGATAGCAGTCGAAGATTGAAGATTGGGCCAAACAATGCCAGGGTTAAAGTCCTTTATGAAAAGATTACTATTTATTTGATAGGATGGATTCAGAGAGACTGAAAATATTGCGGGTGAGAGCGAGGGATGCCCAAACTTGCAGCCAGTGCGACGAGGACTGCAGCCTCTGCACATGGGGCGTCCTATTTACCTAAAAAGCCAAACCAGCACCCCACCCTTCTAAAACCTTAACTCAAAAGCTGAGGTAAAAACTAATCCGAAACCCTGTAATAGTTTTCCAACACTCAACCATGTAGTATGTTTTTGCCGACACCTAACCATGAAGTTTTTATACCTAAACTTAACAAAACTAACATTTTAAGATAACACGATAGAGACTTAGAAAACAGATGCTACATGTGATACTCCATTGCTACGTCTGTGATAAATCATGGTTTTTGATGACCTGGGATTTTAATGAGCACTGCAGACATATCACAAACCCCTGTACCTGCCTGTCCATACTGTAGGTACAGATAACGTTAGAACCGAGCTTATTTGTGAAAATATCCAGCAGCAAGAGATTTTTCTCAGCAGTTTTTTAAAGCTTCATTGCAGATCTCTCATCGGCTGAGAAGATCAATATCAGCTTGATTGTGGTTTTGAAAGCAGTTCCCTGTTGCATCAAGACACAACACATGTGGGTGTTTTCACTTTTGATTACGCTATGATAACAGAGTTTCCAGCCTTAGCGAGATAATGGTGATATAATCACCTCGTCAGACCATGCAAAGATGGCAGACAGGTATGCCACTGTTCATCAAAATACTGGTCTGTGCCTTTAACAGGTAAACTGCTGTTGAAGCAACATATTCAGGGACTTAATATAATATTGTTGTGACTATTTAGAAGTGATGCTTTGTACTGTGTACTTTGAATAAAGAATATGACACAATACAGTACCGTAATTTATTGCCCTCTAGTGTGGGAGTCATTGAGTGCTGTAGTTGGCAGTTTTTCAACTTCCTCTCAACCCTCACATGGAAAGTTCCAGATGTGTTGAGCTATTTTTTTTTTTGTGAATCCCTTTCATGTCTGAGGTGTGCGACTGTGAGACAGAGAGTCATGGCGGTGGGTGGAGTGGGTGGAGGCCACTGTGAAGAGTAATGACCACGTCAGTGCTAGGGAGACACTGCTGTGCTCCTTGTGCTGGTGTTTCCTTTCCCTTCTGCTGCGTGGGAGAGCAAGGCAACACTGCAGTGGCGCGTGTCTGCTGACAGTGATATGTGTGTGAAATATAGACTCTGTTGCAATAAAAAAAAAAGAGGCGAACAAGCTGTTACTATTCCATTAATATTCTGTTTTAAATTCTACTCAACGTCTTAACTTTTCTTCTTTAGGGGTTTTCAACATTGAACCATGTTTCTGGTACATTGCTAAAATGTTTTCCTTGTGGCTGCAAATGTTACAAAACACATGGTTCATCATGGACCGACTGATTTAAGACCTTAACATAAAATTGACTCATGCAGATCAAGATGTTTGTGCTCTGGAGACACGTTTTTAGCTTCTTAAAGAGACAGAATAAAAGCTCAGGATGTAAACATAAGGTCGTTATGAATGTCAGTAGAATCAGAGTTTTATTGAGGTCCATGATTTTTTTTTAAATGTCATTGGACATGTCTTGGCATTTAGCAGTCTGTCTGGTTCATTTCTAATCACTGTGGAGAAGCCAGTGGTCAGTAGGGTTCTTTATAGGGTCTTGTAGGCAGCTAATTGGCTGAACCTTTTCAAGGAGGATGAGGAATATTCCAAAGCAGTTTGTAATGGTTTGACATTAAGAGAAAGCTGCGTCTTTTGTAAGATTAAGATGACAACATAGATACAACTCTAATGTTTGTATGCTAGATAGGAAACTAACATCTGTAGCAGTTGCACAAAACAGCCACCGTTTTCCTGCTAATAGGTGTGAAAATATGGCTGCAGCCGAGACATAAGAACCGCCTGCCGGGAAACGGCTTTATGTGTTGAAGTGAACATGTCTGTAAATCGAGGACCTTAGTGGGAGTGGCCTGCGGTGCTGTGCATTCTGGGAGTTGGTGTCTTTCATCCACATGAGCCAAAAAGAGACTTTCTGCCTTTTCTCGGCCAAGAACCAAGACCAACTTGAAAATGTGTTTCACATTTCTACTACATATATGACCCAATGTCAAGACAGATTCATGTTTCAACGGGTGAAGTATCCCTTTTAAGAACACCCACAAAATGACTTCTTTTGTCGTTAGTAAGTCAGAGACGGGCATAAATGCAAGACTTGTGTGATGAAAACACTTTGTTTTATCTCATGAGAAACTTAAAGGTACACTACGGAGTTTTGGTAGAGAAACGTGAAAGTTGGAGAAGTGTACAGATTCTGTGGTATATGTTCATAACTTTAAACACAAACTGTCCTCAGAGGAAAATTTGGTCTCTTGAACTGTTTGAAGATAAAATGCTACGCGAGAAGTCTTGGTGGGGGGCCTGCAACAGTGAAACCGTAACTCTCCTGGTAGCTTTTTAAGCTCCAAACAGCATTCAGGGACCCTTTTTTTCCTTTGAATAAAATTTGCATATTTAGTTCAGAAAATATAGCATAGCATTTTTTACTTCTCCAACTTTCAAATTTCACTCTCAAATCTACAGAGTGCACCTTTAAGAGGCTCTAGCTGACAAAGGTTAAGTTGTGGCCTTCCCTGCATGGTGCACAATGATTCACCTTAGAAGGAAACAACCATATCAAGTCTCTTAAGTGCTCGAAGCGCCTCCAAACTAAACTGACAAGATGGAAGAAAATGTTGCTGTTGTCGCTGTTATAACCATTAATACATAACTGCAATATCATGCACTGTTTTGACAGTGCTGTCTGGTTTTGCGGAATTGAGTACACATTAATAATATTTAAAGACGCCGACTGTTTCCTTGCTGAGAGAGACACAGTGATGGATGGTCGACCTCCACATGAGCCACACCAAGCGGCACACAGCAACACCATATATGGGCATGTGTGTGTTGGTCAGAAGGAATAAGGTTAGCTTAAACTCTGAATGTGTGTTCGTGCTGCAGTGGATGAGAAGGGAAGGAGCTGGAAGTTTGCCACTTCATAACTTCAACCAGTCTGAAGCTGGCTAACATGTTTTTGGCACTGCAACACAGACACACACATATTTAGCTTTTATTTATACAGACAGGGTGTACTGAAGGTCTGTTTTTGGTTTTATCACATTTTTCTTGGTATATTTCATTTCAATCCTCAGCAGAAGAATGAGTGGAGACATTTTGTAGACTGGTTTGAGTAATTACCACCGATGATAGATCTTCTTAGAAACATGGCTGATACATCTCACAAAACATCAAATACCAGGAATGTTTGGATGCCAGTTGTGTCATCCTTCTATGATTGAATCAATGTTTCCTTATTGTGAAGATAACACGACTGGAGGGCAGTTTGAAATCAGGACTCTGAAGTCTCAGCAGGAAGTGAAGTGGGAAAATGTACCCCTGTAAACTTCAACACACAGTATGTAAAATACAGGGGGCTCTCAATCAAAACAATAACAAAAGATGATGTCCAGGCTAGCGGGGAATCATGGGAGTGATTCTCTGCAACGTCCCGTTACAACTATAAAATTAAGGATTTCTCTGTCTTTGATAACTGATGGAAATATTTGAGGTAATGTAAGTTCACCAAAAACAATTATATATAACATTGGTTTTGTCCGTTTTTAAAAAAATGTAGATATTTGAAAGTAAACGTTAAACGTAAGCATTAGTGTGTTTTCAAAATTGCTTCTATTAAATCCAAAGCTGCTATTGGCAACCAATGACAGAGGTCATATATAATAGAATTATCACCCTAACCAGCTTTTTATTTGTGTGGTTAGTTTGCACAAACTGTGTTATGGTACAACATTTTAATTACATCCGTACATCCGTAATATTGACACTCTCTCCGTTTTCAAATCTCATCTCAAAACACATCTTTTTAAACTGGCATATTCAGTCTGATCATTCTCCATCCGGTCTCATAACTCCTTTACATCCTATACATTTGTGTTTTTTAATGTTAATTTTATCGTTGTGTTGTTACTTTGTTGTTTTTATCTCTGCTCTGTAAGGTGACCTGGAGAGTTTTGAAAGGCGCCTTTAAATAAAATGTATTATTATTATTAACATTTGTCATTGATGGGAAGATTGTGAACTTAAAAATTCATCTCTGGTTTGCATTTGAGGAGGAACACTAAGAGCCTGAAGCGAAACAGAGCGAAACCAAAAATAAGAAATTGAATTGAGCCCAAGTGTTCCAACAATAGAAGACAATTTCACTGCTCGCATGCAAACCTGAGGTGGCTCTGACCTGGGGTGCCAATACGGGCTGTAATGGTGAACATATCTAGCTGGAAGGATAACCGTTTGTGAACTTATCTGAACACAATGTGCTGATGAAATTGGTGACGTTCATGTTTTTGTTGATACCGGTCTTGAGAACATGGGAGACTATGTTATGAGATTATGTTAGAATGAAGCCAAAGACGATAGGGAGACACATAAAGATATGACAGCCTGGGCCAAAACATCAAAGCATAGGGGTGCCATGGGTGAAGTGGATCAAACTTCAGACTGCTATGAGCTATAGTCAAAAGGGTATAAGAAACCGTTTAAGAGGGAGCATCCTTCTGAGCTTCATTCTGTTCTTTGAGCTTCTATGTCTGCTCCTTGTTCTTTTTCATCACTGTGTTTTTGAAAATTAACAGAGTGGGAAAGAAAACAACATACTAGTGTTTTCTGAGTTGAGTGTCTGAGACTCTTTGACACGAGGAGTTCAGTGGATCCAGCTGCAGACTGGCTACAGTAAGATAAGGTCGAGGTGGAGCCAGTAAACAGATCTGATACCATAATGTCTATGATGACAGAATGAAGAAATCACTGTTTTTCAACGAGGATGTAATTCTTTTTAGTCAGACTGGTAATGAAGAGATAGTGTTATAGTCAAGACCACACTAACCAAGACCAAGAAAAACCCCAGACCAGAGTGCTTTGAGACAAGACCAAGACATTTAGGGACCAAGTGAGGACCAAAACAAAGGCAGGGTAAGACCAAGACATACCAGAGACCAGAGTGCTCTGAGACCTTTAGGGATCGAGACCAAGTGAGGACCAAGACCATAAATATCACTGAAAAATCTCACTCACACCGGGAAGGTTCCTGCAGTAACCGGGAGATAAAAATCAAACTACAAATGAATTGACATTTTTTGTTCTTTTAGAAAGAGGCGTATTTCTTCGAAGCACAGTATGACTTGGAAAAACCTCCAATTAGTTTAGGTCTTGACCAGTCTTGGTTTAAAATCTGGATTCCACCCAGTCTGAGGCCGAGACAAGACTGAGTAAAAATGCTTTCGATTCCAAGACGAGACCAAGACCTTCAAAAAGCCTCGAGACTAAGACCGATTTTGAGTACTACAACACTATGAAGAGATACAAGATGTCAAATACTCACACAACACCAGGTACCCAAACTTGTATCCTTATGGGAAAATAGTATCGAAACGTCCCTAAAATTAAAACTATTGACAAATAAAAGTTTTAAATCAAGAGATACTTTTTTATTTCTTTCTTACCAATACAGGCAGAAAAATTGAAATTGATTTGAAGTAAATTTAGAATATTAATCCCTTAACTTGTGGTTTCTAGTGTTTCAGCTACAAGTGTGATGTTCACATGGTCTTTTTTTTTAATTAAATGTACAATTTAGAGGATTTAAATGTGGGCTTTGTGTGCCTTTATTTAAGAGACAGGACTGTGGATAGAGGCAGAAATCAGGGAGAGAGAGAGTGGGGATTGACATGCTGGAAAGGAGCTCCAGGTTGGGTTTGAACCCGGGCCACCAGCTTGGAAGACTACAACGTCCATACATGGGTCATGCAAACTAACCCCTTGTCCACCTGCACTTTGAGGTTCACGTATTCCAGTGCAGTTCAGCCTCTGAGGAAAACATGAGATTTCCAATCATCAAGCACTTCTCCTTCTCAGGCTCCTGCAAGCCATGCATAAATGTAATAAAATCCCAAGCTTCAGCCTCGTGTGCTTATCATCGTATTAACTCAGTCAGCATTGCCGCTAATTGGAAATGAACCATTGGAGGGCCAGAATGTCTCAGGCTTCCTCTGGAGCCTCTTAGATTTCAATGAGACTCTACTGTAGGTATTTTTGGTGAATAGTTGGAGGGCAAAGAACAGTTGGTTTAGGCAAGAAGATTAGAATCAATTATCCAGTGAGACAACTTCACAGAGGGTTGTTTTCTCATGAAACAAACCTGACTTTGGTTGTTTTATCTGGTTGCAGTTGTGTTATCCTTTCAAACGACTTGAGCTCTTTAGATGCTGACAATCCCTTCGTCATCTACTCTCTCTCTTTCACATCTCTCACATGCCTGACACCACTCACCTCTGTATTTCAAGTGGCTGAGACAGGTGTAAAGCGGAGGTCTTTTTGTTTGGGACCTGAGTGTCTACACTTCTAAGACTTGACGATTAGAGATATGTGAGGGTCCTAACCATCTGATTAAATCTCAAGCCAGAAGACTACAGCAGCAAGGACACAGTCTCTTTAATAAAAAATCTTCCAATTTGATGGATTTTATTTGCTTTTCAAAATGCACAAGACTTTCACAGTGTGAATGTTTCCATTAAAGTAAAAGTGTACTAAAACAACCTAAAGCCCTGTTTGCTTTGTCGTGATATATTGTACTGGACTTTGAGGCTATTTTAGTCCAATCATTCATATCCTGAAAAGTTTTTTGAATACAACAACTAAGAATCACTTTTTGACTCATAAATGGTGATAAAAGAAACACATCCTTCAAGAAATGCGACCAGCGTGAAGGAAATTACAGAATTCAGAATCGAAAAGAAGTTTATTTAAACTTGCCTTAACGATTAAGTTGTTAGCACTGCCATCAAAGCTAGGAGTAGCATATGAACTGGTCCTGCCTGTTTCCTCAGACGCTGCTTACTTCTACTTGGACGAGAGGATGAATGGCTGACCTCGGAGCTCACTGATTGGTTCCCTGATCCTCCCTGATCACAACTGCTGTCATGGCCAAAAGCCCGGAGGTGAAGCTGGCCGTCTTCGGCAGAGCTGGAGTGGGCAAGTCAGGTAAACTGCTTTGTGTGTGTGTGTGTGTGTGTGTGTGTGTGTGTGTGTGTGTGTGTGTGTGTGTGTGTGTGTGTGTGTGTGTGTGTGTGTGTGTGTGTGTGTGTGTGTGTGTGTGTGTGTGTGTGTGTGTGTGTGTGTGCATTTCTCACATGCATGGTGTTGCATGAGCTTCTCTCTATAGTCTAAAGTTTCCAAAAGATTTTTCCAAGCGTTACCAAAAGAACTGGAAAAGGGCTGATGTGACAGATTTGTCGTTTGGTGCATGGAATGATCTTACATCCGTTTCCATGAACATGTAGTCTAAAATTTTTCTTTTATGTATCTGCAGGTTTCATGGTCTTTACTTTATTCACATTTTTCTGCCTCATTTCTTATTACTGCTCTCCATCAACCTGTCAGTGCTTTAATACTCCCCATCATTTCTCCCCTTAATCAGTTTGTTTTCATAGCCGACATTACAGTAGGAGGTTGTTTTTGGTCTGGCTTAAATATCTCACAATCTACACTCCCACCGATACGTCAGTTGTAGACATCATTTTGGTTTCGGCCGTCCTCTACAAACAGCAGTTCGCTCTGCCTCAGTTGGCTGTCTGTCTATTTTCTCCAGTAGCTAAGACAATAACACAGACCATATGTTTCATGCGGACTACAAATCAACAAAAGATTGCTTCTCCGTCGCAAAAGCCTGTTTGGAAACATGCTTTGGGATCTCTTCCATGTCAAAAGAGGCCATTAAAATGCCTGAGGAGGTCAGCTTAAGTACTTTACTGAAAAGTATAATGACCGAGGAGTTCTTAACCTTCAGCTGAAGAGTGCGGTTGTAAAACATGGTGTTGAGGCCGGCGATGGCTGACATGCATGTCTGAGCCCTTGTTCAGGAATTCAAGCTTCAATCTATGACTTAACTCCTTGAAATAAGAGACATACAGTACAGTTAGCCCTCCCTGTCTCCTTCTGATGTAATGAAGTTCACTCCACCAAAACCTTTCAGTCGTCCTTGTGGCTTGTCATGCCCTGACCTAACAATCTCCCAAACCCAATTACTGCTAAGACATTTGCCATTGCTTTTTGCATGAACTGTGTCAAAGCTTTTTCTTTCTATTAATAAAACAGCACTAACATGGCTGATGATTTCTAGTTAAATATTGAAGCACAGAAGTTGATAGTGCAAAAGCCCCATCTTTGACCTCAGCCCTCATACAGTATGAGGTCAATTTGGTCAGATAGCATTTCCTACAAGAACTGAAGGTGAAAAATACATGCAGGTACTTATAGCCTGTTATCAACCAAAGGGGTTCATGTTGAAAGACTTTTCATGTTCACACAGGTTTCCAATTCCAGTTTCCAGTATTCAAAATACCGGAGATGTACATTGGCTCTGGCACAGGAAAAAAAATGATTGCAGACATCTGTTGGTTCAAATCAAGCAATTGAGTATTTCTAGTTTTTAACCCCACTTTTATCTAGTTCTAGTGATGGACATGTTACCTGCTTGCTGGTAATTCACTTTACACACCAACTGTTCATGTGAACATTTGATTTCTACATACTTGATTCATCCAGTTCTGATCAGCTGCATGACTCCTGTAGCTGTTTTTTTTCCAGCACAATAAAAGGCTGGCACAAAGACAGAACAGACAAACAACAGGACAGCAGTCATTGTTGTCATATCTGAACTCCATGTAGCCCTGGTGAACCCTTCAACAATGAACACCTCACATCCAAACAAAGGCCATTAGTGGATGGAAGACTACAGCTGCTAATTAATTGATCCTCTTCTACTGTAAGTGTGTGAACATTATGATTCAGGCAGTAAAATACACTCAACTAAATCCACAATATAAAAGATATATACCATAATGTAAAAACTCTCTAATTCTTCTTGAATAGAAAATATTTACTTTTAAGAAAGTACAAAAGTTAAAACTGTTAATGTAATTAAGGAATTAAAAGAGATAGTACCACATGGAGTAATTTCTCCAATCATAAATGCATTATCACATAACTATAGGGCTGTTATAAATGATAGCATAGCGCTTTATTCTTTGTCTTGTATTTATATCAAAGCAAGATTTTTCTGGGCTGACGCTAAAGCTGATGTTCATTGAATACTTTTTTGGTAAAGAACTAGATTTTTATCTTAAAGGTCACATATTATGCAAAATACAATTTACCATGTTTCTCTAACACTAATATGTGTCTCTAGTCTGTCTACAAACCCCCCAGTTATGATAGAAGTCCATCCTCTCCGTCTTTTACCTACTCAACTTTTCAGAAAATGTGTGCTGATTTTCCCTTCATGACATCAAAAAGGGCAGTAGCCCCTCCCCCAGGTGGGTGGCACTCCCACAGCTCGGTGTTTATTCTGCCCTCTGAGTCTGCCTTCTCGCCGAAAACAATAGGGAATGAAGCAATAATAACCCAAGGCATACAAGCCCCTCCAGAGAATAAACAATCCAAATAAATGAAAGACAACCCCTTGAATTTCCCAAATGGTTTACAGGAGGCTTCTCTACCAAGACTTAACACTTAAGTAAACAAACATAATTTCAACTAATGATAGGGCTAGATGGAAATTGAAGGGACAAGTAATTCAAATGAACCCTACAGGGATATGCACGTGTGTCAAAGTGAGTTACAATGTTGTCTTCACCACAATGCTCCATGCTCACCGAGCTGTCAATGGATTACATCCTCTAGATTTAATCCTTTACATGTACCATTGTCTTAAGAGTGTTGTTCAGACAACGGTTATCAGAGGCAGCTCCAGCCTGGCAGGAAAATGTTTTACACCAAAGACTCGAAATGTTTGCCAGATTTTTGTTTCTTCGCAGGTTTTTTTCATTTGAACAGCATTTAATCAGTCAAACCTTTCCCCTGTTCTTTACACCAAAAAACGTATACAAGCTTGTTGCCAGTCAGACTCCATTCCACATTCTCTTCACCAAAAGTACTTTTGTTTAGACTTTGGACACTAGTACTTGTGCATGCGATGCTAACAGTATATCAGTTGGACTTCAGTGTATTTGTGCTTTTGTAGAGATTATTTACCTCCAGAAGCTGATTGTTAACCCCCCTGGATGGAAAAATGTGTTCCCAATAAGACAACCTGCTGGGAGTCTTGGCATCATTGGGAGTTTGCTGGAGACTTTGTGAGGGTCTGACCTGGACTCCTGCAGAGCCATCCAGCCCTATAAAGAGCAGAGTATGTTACCTCAAGTGTGGCTCCTCTGGCACTCTGCAGCCTTTGGTTTATTGAGCAGTGAAACTGGTGAGGAAATAAGATAAATTATAGCTATTCTCTTTGGCTTAACCTGGCCCCTGCAAAACAAACACGTCTGTTGAACAACATGTGCAATGAGTTCATCCTGATAGATACAATTTGAGCAGAAAGCTGAGTAATTACTCCCACATCCATTTTTAAAGATAGAAAGGGAAAAAAAACATGTCAGCTGATGATTTACTAATTTGGGCTGGACTGTTGAGAGTCAATATCTTCGATTGGATTCATGCTCTACCTCTTATTGTTTCAGCACCATTCAGTGTCGTAAGGAAGACAATATTCATCATTTTATATGCTTGGATTAACACCATGAAAATGGAATATTGATCTCCTACTGTAACTGTCTGACATTATTCTTGCAAGATATTGAAGAGTGACAGTGGTTACTGTTTCTATTGTACAAAATGGCAATGTTGTAGTCAAGATGGGAGATGCACTTCTTTCAGCAATAGATCTTTGTTGATGATATAGATGCATTACAAATCTATATTACAAAGCTGTAGCACAGAACACAAGACAGGCCTTGCTGTCTTTATCATAATATCATCAGACTGTCAATATTAACCACGTGAAGAAGGTCAACATGGTGGTGCATTTAGCTGCAAACCGCCAGAAAATGTGTCCCAGTAGATGTTCCAGACCAAACAAAGATTGAATGTTGAGCTTACATTTTGTTTGGGAGGAGATAGACATGACTCCATGTAAATTGGACAGTTGTTTTCCAACATGTTTTCAGCTAAGCAGTGCCACTTCTAAATGATTATTGCTAATGGTAAAATAAATCCCTCCAATCAAAACAAACTCAATATCCTCAAGGGGGACGCAAGGATACAAATCAAACACTTGCAGACATTGCAACAGTCAGGCAGTCAGTTGTTTGATATTGATCATTTGAAATATGGGCCGCTGTGGCTCAGTTGGTTGAGTCGATCGTTTCTCAGGTTGGGGGTTCGATCCCCAGCTCCTGCAGCCACATGTCCAATGTGTCCTTGGGCAAGAGACTTAACCCACAAGTTGCTCCCACTGCTTCGTCGGTGGAATATGAATGTGTATGAATGGGATTAGTTACTTCTGATAGTCTCTAAACCTAGCAACTTCTGCCATCAGTGTGTGAATGTGTAGCTGTGACCTGCAGTGTAAAAGTGCTGTGAGTAGTCAGAAGACTAGAAAAGCCAAGTTTACCAAGTCCAAATCCCAGTGGTATAGAAGGTTCCCCCTGGAAAATTCCACAGTGGCTCTCTAGTGTCAGATATTCTAACATTAGTTATGAACTAAAAATGAAAGGGGAGTCTTGCTCCTACCTTCTGCTAGAGTTCAGTAGAATTTAAAAGTATGATTTGGTTAAAAAACAACAACAGAAAGTTTCATCAAAATATTAGAATACATCTTGGATCTCGTTGTGAAAACAATGGGACACATATAAGCGCATGCAGTAAATAGTGTGTTTAGATGTTGTTTGGATGTTCTAGGGGATTGGGAAAATGTAATTTACTGGGTGCAAAGCTCCAGCTCGTAAACATCTTGTCTGCTCGCTCCTCAAACATTCCTCCCCTCAGCCTGTCTGACTGCCAGAAAGAAAAACAATAACAAAGGCCCAAGCCAACATGTGTCTGCCTCAGAAATACTCCTTACCACCTCCACGCTGTGAAGGGACCATGAATCAGCCAAATGTATGCGTGGGTCTGAAGTATGATGTAAACAGTCATTCAGAGGGCAA